TAAATAAACATATTCCACACTGTTTATTTTAGTTTTATATAACAATTCATAATTTCTTTTTTTTATTTAAAATTTATTCATTCTTCTTTTAAAATATTTTATTTAATATCTGATAATATTGACACTCTCTTCTAAAATCAACTTTGTTTAACTTATTTGAGTAATATATTAGTTTTAGTTAAATAATTATTATAACTTTTTTATTTTCAAGTATCTTCTTTTAGTTTATATTAGAATGAAATAAAGAACAATTCCTTTTTATAATTCTATATAATTTTATAAATATAATATTACAGATGTATATCTAAATACATATATTTTCTCTTTATAAAATAATTATTATACCCTCACTTATTGCACGTTTTATCTATTTGATAATTGGAATGAATTTATTAAATAATTGTATAAGTAAAATTTCTTTTTATTTTAAGTTCTATGCCTCATATAGAATGTATTACATTTATTCATTATCTAATAGTTTAAAACTATTCTATATGTTTATTAGAATATTTGTACTTTTTTATTTATATCCATATCTCTCCATTTTTATTTATATATTTGTTATGTAAATTTTATAAACAGGAGCAAGAATAAGTGAGGTTAATTCTTTGTCTTTTACTTTACTAATTTTCTATTTCTATTCTTTGTTATTTTAATTATTAATCTATTTCTAAATTAATTCACTACATTTTCAGATATTATTCAAAATAGTTTAGAAGATTTACTAGAGTGTGTTGTAAATATTTATATTGAAATGAAAAAACAAAAACTATCTTTAGCGTTTTATAAAAATAATGTAGTTATTAAAGTCAGTGTACTTAAAAAATCTCATTTTTTTAGGTGTTAAAACACAATTTTTATACAAATAATTAAATACATTAAATACTATCAAATATTTTTTCAGATTCAATTAATATAGAAGGTATTTTCTTCTGGTCTTTTTTGATAGGTACCAAAAAAATTTAAATAATTCTTAAGGAAAAATTTTATTGTATTAGAAGAACTAACGAATAATATCTGCTAACAATGACAATAATTAACAATAATTAATAATTAATATTGTTTCTATAACAAATTAATAAATATTGAAGTAATTTAAATGAATAACAATTATTAACTGTTGAAAAGAAAACTAATGAAACAATTGAATTTAGTTTATTAGAAAAAAGTAGCATTAAAACTAATTTTATTTTTTATTAAAAATAAAATCAGATGAATATTTCATAAACACGGTTTTAAGCCATATTTAGATAAGCACTATATTGTCAATAGCTTCTTCAATAAATATTTGTTGGAACTTCATGCCATTTAACCAAAAATGCATATCTTCAAAGCAGTCTAATTGGAATATAAATGCTTTCTTCTTATATTGATCTTCAATTTTAATAGAATTAGGACATTTGTCAGGCTCATATTCACTCATATAACATTTATACAAGCTAAGTTTATCTATAAGCTTCATGTTTGAAGATTTAATCATCTCATAAATGAAAATAAATCCACTTCTTAATTCTATATGAACTGTTTGGAATTTTTTATCACGAAGCATCTTAATAATACCTTTTTGAGCTTCATAAGTATTTCTACCAAGTTTTTCTAATGACATATTGATCTCTTTAGAAGCATACTCTTTAATAGATTTTAATTCATCAGATATTCTACTAATCCAACTATCTTTTTCTTGTCTAGTAGTAGCATCTAAAATATATTGTCGTTGTGGTAAAATAATAACAAATTTAGTCGAATTGGGAATAGTCCTTATCTCTGCAAATGCTAAATCAATCACTTTAGGTACCTCATTAATTGATCCTTCTCTTTGTTTATTGAATCTGACTTGTTGTTGTTTATAATAAATTAACTCTCTATTAAATTGAAGTAAATAGAAGAACCTTCTCTTCATCTTTCCTGTTTTCTGTGACCTCATAAACAAATAACCAGCTTTACCATCCCAATTCTTAACATCGGTTGGATCAATTTCAACTCCCTCTGGAAGATCTCCTTGAGTTTTTTCTGCAAGTTTTTCAAATTTAGTTGATAAATTAGAAAGTAATGTTGGATCAGCGCCTTCCATTTCAACAGAATTGTCTTGATAATATAATGAAACACTTAATTGACCTTGAACTTGTTCAGTTCCTTGTGGAAGAATTGTTAACCATCGTTCTTGAATACCTTTTATTCCTTTTAGACTTATTGACACTTGACCGAATGGGACTATTGTTTGTTTTAATAAAGACTTCTTCCTACCAAATAGTTCAATCCTTACCTGATCATCATGGTTACAGTCAAATGCCATGAAATGATTCCATACAGGAACACTTGGGATAATAGATTTTGTTTGCACTGGATTTTGTTTACCAACTTTTACAACGCAATATGCTTCTTTTATTCCATTCATTGGTGGTAAGTCTTTTATACTATTAATACGTAAACTAAATACACCTTCTTGTAATTTATCACTTCTAAGGTCTTGAACTGATATTGCTGTCTGACGCATTCCTTCAATAGAAGTAATTAATTGAAGTGTATAAAGTAATTCTGCAGGATATTGACTGTCATAAAGTTGACTGGTAACAGGAGTAACATTATTTAGTTCTAAGTTATTTAATGGAACAATAATTTCTTGATAAACTGTTTTTGTAGATTCTTCAACAACTTTAATAGTTAAATTTGTTACACTTGTAATTTCTTTAAAGAATAAACTACTACCAATGTTATCATTAATTTTATTAACTCGGGTACTTTGAATATTTGACTGTTTAGTTTCTAATGATAATTTAAATAATGGCCTTTTAATTTCTTTATTAGACTTTAACATTAATACATTAACTCTTAATACGTACTGTGTTAAGTCATCTCTTTTAAGAGTTTGTGTATTTGGTATTTCTATTAAAGGTAAGTCTTTAATGTCATTACTTTTCTTACTAATAGTTTTTCTAAGGTTGTTTTTTTCTTGAAGTTGTTTTTGTTCAAACTCTTCTCGTTCTTTCTTTTGTTTTTCTTCAAGTTGTAATAATTCTTTTTCTTTTGTTTGTTTTTCTTCTTCTATTTGTTTTTCTTCTTGTTTAATACTCACATCTTTTGTTTTTGAAATATTTGCTTGTTTAATTTGTTCTTCTTCTTGTTGGCTGGTTATTTCTTTATTATTAGAGTTATCTTCTTCAACTTTTACTTGTTTTGATTTAAACTCTTTTACGTTTTGTTCTTTTTTTTCTTCTTTTTCCTTTTTTTCTTCTTCAGTCTTTTTCTTTTCTTCTTCTTTTGTTTTTCGTTCATTCTCCTCAAGTCTTTTCAGATTTTCTTCTCTCTCTTTTTGTTGTTTAAATTCTTCATCTCTTTTCTTTTTTTCTTCTTCCTGTTTAGTTTTTTCAATTTCTCTCTTTTTCTTTTCTTCTTCTTGTTGAAGTTTAAGTTCTTTTTCTTTTCTTTGTTTTTCTTCTTCAATCTTTTTAGCCTGGTCATCTAATTCTTGTTTTTTTGTTTCTATTTCTTCAGGCTCTTTTTGTTTAGAAGAAAGGCTAGTAGTTTTAGATTTTTCTGATGTAATTTGGTTTTTCTTTTTTACTTCTTCAAGTCTTTTTTGTTTTATTGCTTTCAACTTATCTTGCATTTCCTTTTTTTTCTCTTCTGCCTCACGCTGTTTTCTTTTCCACTCTGGCTCTTGTCCAATATTTTTATTTTGAGAATTTGCTACAGTTTTAGGTTCTGTTTTTGTTGAAACAATATGCGAAGGTGGAGCTTTTGATAGCACTGCTTGCTTTTCTTTCATTTCTTGTATTTTCTTATCTTTTTCTTCTTGTTCCTTCTTTAATCTTTCTTCTCTTTCTCTTTTTAGTTTTTCCTCACGTTCTTTTCTTTCTTTTTTTTGTTTTTCAAGTGCAACTAATCTTTCATCTTCTCGTCTTTTTTTCTCAGCCATCTCCTTTTCCCTTTTTTCTTTTTCTTCTTTTTGTTTTCGTTCAAACTCCTCTTTTTCTTTCTTTTGTTTTTCTTCGAGTGCTTTTTGAGCTTCAATGACTTTCTTTTCTTCTTCTTGACTACTTAGTTTTTGTTGTTCTTCAGCCTTTTTTCTAGCTTGTTTTTGGACCCAAATCTTTTTACCACAAGTCTCACAATATGGTTGGTTATCCACAGTAACAAATGAAGCACCTAATTTTCTTGAACAAGTGGTACAACCAAAACACTGTTGATGGTACTTCTTACCTAATGCTTCTAAGACATTGCCACTCAGTGTTTGTCCGCACTTTACACAAACCTCGAGTCGTTGCCTATTAAATATTAACAATTTCCATTAAAAACAATAAAAAATAACAAACTCCTGAGTAGTAACTTTCTTTTTTGGAATTACTGGAGTCGTTTGAGTACCTCCACTACTTTTTGACAAAGGTTGGTTGTTTCTGTTTATTGGACGAGGTGGAGGTTTTGATGCTGAAGAATAAGGCTGAGCAGCCATAACCGGCTTTTTGGTATTTTCTTCTTTCTTCTTTTCTTCTTCAACTCTTTTATTTTCTTCAGCAACTGAACCTCCCTTAAGTTGAAACATTTGATACATCACACCAAGATACGTAATGATACTAAATTGCTCTGGTTTTTCCAATAATACAAAATCTTCTACATCTAACAGTCTTGGAACTCCTAATTTCTCTGCTGTAGAAAATGCTAGCTCCAAGTTCTTTTCCATATTGTCTTTTGACAATGAATTAAAGTCTATTGCCTCAGGATGAAATGAATGTATAAGTGCACAAAAGGCTAATCCATTTTTCCATGAATAATGAAAATTTGTGACATTAACATCTTTATATCCTGCCGTATTTTGTTTACACCATTGGAGTAAAGCTTGTGTCCCTTGCATGATTTGTAAATATTTATAATTTTCTTGAAGTTACTTTTTTATCTTTTTTCTTAAATCCTTAAGTTGTAATTGTTATTTCATTCTTTATTGGTACTACTTTCAGTCTTTAGTTTTGTTCAAATAAACTCGATACTTTCGCTTTTCCTCTATAAATAGTTTCTTGTCTTACTCTCTTAATTTTTTTATTTATGATGTAGTTATTTCTAATAAAAAAGGCGATGTTTAAATAAAACAAAGCTGTAAAGAATAACATTGAAGAATAACAGAATTTATTTAATACCAGAAAAATTAATTCTTCAAACTATAACAAAGTCCCATTCAATTCATTGGTTATATTTAAGGAAAAGAAGAGCGTCATTAATTTATTCTTTGTCTATTTTCAAATCATATTTTTGGAGCGATAAAAATATTATACTCTATAATGACATTATTTCCCCCTCAATCAACTCAAGTTGCTAATTTTTGTTTAATAATAAATTCAGGATAATTACCAATTTTTTGTGGACAATTAAATTTTGTAAAATTAGTTTCATAAAATTATGAGTTACTTATAAAAATTTTTTATCACAAAGAGAAAAATAATCTAATCTTAATTGACTCTGACATATCAAAACTGAGATAAAAAAACATTCACAGAAATACAACTAATGTCCTTTAGAAAGAGAAAAAACGAATATCATCCTCAAGAGAAGAGTGAGATAGTTTACTAACTTCAGAAATATTTGAATATAATCAATGAAGAGTGAACAACAAGAAATGAAACAAGAAACAAAGTTAAGAAATTTAAGAGAATGGACAGGTCTTAGTAATTATTTCATTCTCTACGACTCAGACGAAATGCCGTTTGATAGAAGGTCATTTCAGCGAGTTATTTATGGAAGGAATAATGTTATGGGATTGGTCATCACATCCAGTGGGGAAGTCTTTGGTAGTTTTCATCCAACCACACTTCCACAAGAAGATAATGATAATGAATGGGTTAATGATAACAACTATTTTGTTTTTAAAATTAATAACGAGGTTTGTAAGTATTCTAAGCATGAGAGAATAAACACTGACTGGAGCCTCTATCTTTGGAGTGAACATGACAGTTCATTGCCTAATTTTTATTGTGTTTTATTCGCATTTGGTCTTAGTTTCCCTTTAAACAATGAACGAAGTGGTATTATAAGAAGAGGTTTCGAGTGTTGTTATAAGTCAAATCAAATGCTTGCTGATGGAACATATGATAACTATAATAATGTACTATTTAAACCTTCAAGGCTTATATTACTTCAATGGTTTGATAATTAATAATTTAGAATAATACTTTTTATTTTTTAGTTAACAAATAGATTTTGAATATAAGCACTCAATTATTTAAGGATTTATTCGTCATCATCGTCTTCTTCATCATCTTCTAATTCAAATTCATCATCATCGTCT